TCATTCTGGAAGTTAGTTCTGTTTAGTTATCATGGTCAATAGCTATTAAGGGGTTTATCCTTTCTGAACTTTCCCCCACTCGCTTCCTTTTTTCATAATGGCTCGGTTTCATGACTGAAATCCTGTTGCTTAGGATTGTAAATCACAACTAGAGCAGGCCAATTCAACCAGTGGAATTTATGAAGGGAATGACTCACCAAATCTCTACTGATTCAGTAGGCCTACTTAATGTGTTCGTTTGTTTGCTTCTATCCCACATTTTCCTTAAAAAGGTGGTTTGCATAATTAAAAAGACAACATTTAAAAGCAAAAACATTAAGTAAACAAATATTTAAAAGTGTAAGAAAGATTTTTAAAAGTATGATATTGAAAACGGTAAGTAAAATCAATGCTAAAACACATTTACAGCAACAGTTTTAACAGAGCGCAACAGTCTGTTTGAAAACCCTCTCAGACCACCAGTCATTAAGGAAAAGCCTGCCTGAAGAGAAGGGTCTTCACCTGCTTGCGGAAGGACAGCAAAGATGGGGCCAGTCTGGCCTCCTGTGGGAGGGAGTTCCAGAGTCTGAGAGTAGCAACAGAGAAGGCCCTCTCCTATGTCCCCACCAAACACACCTGTGAGGGTGGTGAGACCAAGAGAAAGGCCTCTCCTGATGATCTTAAAGGCTGGCAGGCTTATAGAGGGAGGTGTGGTCTTTTAGACAGCTTGGATCCAAGCCATTTAGGGCTTTATAGGTTAAACCCAGCACTTTGAATTGTACCCAGAAAAGGACTGGTAGCCAGGGGAGTTATATGTTCCTTGTAACCAACCCCGTAGCAATCCAGCTGCAGCATTTTTGGACCCTTTGCCACTTCCGAACACTTTCCGAAGGCAGCCCCACGTAAAGCGTCTTACAGTAATCCAGCCGAGATGTAACTAGGGCATATGTCACCATGTCCAGATCAGACCTCTCATTAAACAGGCATAGCTGGCGCGCTAGTTTTAACTGTTCAAAGGCACTCCTGGCTACCATCCAGGAAACTTGGGCATCCAGGCTCAGGGATGACTCCAAGAGCACCCCCAAGCTGTGCAGCTTTTCAGAGGAGGTGTAACCTCATCCAGCACAGACTCCAAGCCTATTCCTTGATCTGCTTTTCAACTGACCAGGAGCACCTCTGCCTTGTCTGGATTAAGTTTCAGTTTATTTGCCCTCATCCAGGCCATTACAGGCACCAGACACTGATTTCGAACCGAAACAGCTCCGTTGGACCAGACACTGATTTAGAACCGAAACAGCTCCCTTGGGTTTAGATGGAAAGGAGAGAGAAGAGTTGGGAGTCATCAGCATACTGGTGACACCGAATCCTAAAAAGTCAAGACAGTCTCTCCCAGAGGTTTCATGTACAGTAGGTGTTAAAAAGCATAGGGGACAAAGCAGAACCCCGAGGGACATCAATGGCCAGGGTGTCAAAGAACAGTCTCCCAGCACCACCTGCCGGGTTCTCCCTTCCAGGAAGGACCAGAGCCACTGTAAAACGGTGCCTCCTAGTCCCATCCCAGGGAAACGGGCCAGGAGGATACAGCGGTCAATGGTATCGAAAGCCACTGAGAGGTCCAGCAGAAACAACAGGGACACACTCCTCTTCTCCAGTTCACCAAGGTGACCGAAGCACTCTCCATCCCATAACCAGACGTGAAGCCAGATCAAAATGGATCTGATCATCCATCTCATCCAGCCATCCTTGGAGCTGAGAAGCCACAGTTGTGACTTCTTACACTAAGCAACTCGATTTTGGCCACTCTGTTACAAGAAAGGTAGTTCTCTCTAATGGGTTATACCCCCCTGCTTTCTTTGTAATGAAGCTGGGCAGCCTTACATTTCAGAAGAATGCTACATTTCAAAAGTGACATATTGGGAACAAAATGACTTCACTGGCATTCCAAGTTAATGTCTTCTAGTTTACTTCCCCAAATTACTTTTTAAGAATCCCAATTAAGGGTCTGTTTTTTAAAAGTAGTGAAGAGCAACAAAGGCATAATGAGCAATGCTTTGAGTCCTGTAACAAATCACCTTTTCAAAAATGTTGTAATAGTTCTTGACAGTTAATAATTTTTGAACCCCACCATGAGTAATGGGAAGGAATGTTTACTCAGAAGGAACTTTCCAAGTTCTGGTTTGAAATACACCAGCCTGAAGCCTTGTAATTTAGATTAGTCTCCCAAGTTCTTTGTTTGCCTAATTAGGAGTATCCGAAAGCGTCCCTTGCTTCTGAGTGTTGCGATTGCTCTTTTCTTTGAAATGTTACACTTATCGCGCAGCAGAGGGCAAGCTAGTCTCCCAGCGCTTCGGCCAAAGTTTATCTCTGCAGAAGCAGCAGACCTGAAGGGTAGCATTTGCTGCAGGGCGGCTAAGGCAATGGGTTTCTTATCATAGGGCAGAGAAGCAAATGGCCTTATCTCCAGCCAGCCGAAAGGACAGAATTCTGGGAGATAAGGAAAGTTCACTGATGCTGATGTTCCTGCTGTCAGTGCAGCCAGCCTGAAAGATGCCTTGTGAAGGGTTTGTGTGTGTGTGTGTGTGTGTGAGAGAGAGAGAGAGAGAGAGTGAGAGAGTGAGTGAGAGAGAGAGAGAGAGAGAGAGAGAGAGATTGAAGATGGCCATGCTATGCGAAGCCAGGTGGTAGGGGTGGATTTGGAATGCCACCAATAGTAGGCAGTTGGATGGAATGTGAGGAAGAGCCAATAAAATAGACACGATCCATTGGGAGGTGTTTCCCAATCAAGAAGCAAATGGACTTGTTGGACCACCGACAGATGCAGTTCGAAGAAGACCTGACCTCCTTTTCATGGGGGAAGCGATCCTGGGTGCTTGCCTATTTATTGTGAATAGATCCAGGTTTCAGTTACTAGGTTCTTTTTCCTGAAGTGATTCCAGATGAGAGTTTGAGATTCAGTGCGCAATAACGTGAATATTTTTTCATAGCTGTGGATGATCAAGGGAATGCGAGGTGGGAATTCAGTAAACTGCTTGTGGGAAACAGCGGCCATTGCGTATCGGAACAGGGTGGGCAGATGTTTCTAGCCAGAGAGCTCTGAAACTGGCAGAGGCTGCCCAGGTTGTTTTCTGTGAAGTAGTACCGCACACGCAGTAGAAACGTCCCATGGTTTTGCCAAGGGTCGTCAAGGTGGTTCCAACCCAACAGCATCCCTAATAAGGTTTTCAAAGGATGTGAGGTGTTCAAGGAGTAATTTACCGCTACTCGCTCTCTAAGTGAGTTGTCATGGCCAGCAGGGATTTGAACCCAGGTCTCCTCAGCCCTAGTCTGGCATTCTGTCCGCACTGCACTGGTTCTCCAGTCCCCAATCCCTCTAATTTATTCTTGGCAATTGTGTGGTGTTTTGGTTAGAGGACAGAACTAAGATTTAGGAGGTCCAGATTCAAATCTGAACATGGGCACAATACTCACTGAATGACCTTAAGCCAGTCATTCTTAGCCTGACTTACCCTATAAGGCTGTTGTGAGGATAAACTGGGGAGAACAGCCAAGTATATTGGCTTCAGCTAGCTAGAGGAAAGGCGGGATATAACTACAACTACAGCTTATAAATATAAATAGTACTAGTACCAATTTGTATAGCTAAAGCAAATATTGCAAAGATACCATAAATTGTCAGTATATTCTCAGCCAAAGGACAGTGAGGCTCTAGACCCATGCAGATTTTCTATTGGAATAATCCAATGTGATCGGGTTCTTTGTCAGTGTCTGACAGTTCCTTGATTTTGGCAGGAAATGACAAGAGAGAAGATTCTTTCAGCAATTCTTTATTAACAAAACTAGTGGGTTTCTCCATTACAACTTCAACGGGATCAACAGGTTCAGCGCTAACAAGGGACTCTGCCCACAACAAAGGCAATGTCTCTTCATGATTATCTTTCTTTAACGGAAAGATTGTCCAAACCATTCCTGGTCTAATGGTTGTTGTGGGTTTTTCGGGCAGAGTGTTTTTCAAAGCACACGAGAGAGAACATAACCAATGTGATTAGAGGGCAAAATTCCAAATTCGCCTGCGATTTAGCCCAGTGGCCATGGCTAAAACCCAGGTCACTAAATCCTTTGATCAGCTGTAGGGAGTGAAGGAAGCTGTGACTCCAACTGTATCTACATTACACCGTTACAGCAGTGTGATCCTGCTTCAAGTCCATGTTGCAGAGCCCTGCAATTTAAAGTTGAGTAAGGGGCTTGGAATTACCTTCTGTAGTTCAGGGGAGCATAAATAGAAATCCCTAGCAGAGAACTGCACAGACCACACCAAACTAACAACCCCTGGATTCCAGTACTTGGATTCCACTTTTGCTAGTGGAGCCATGGCAGTAAAAGTGGTATCAAACCACAAGAAGTGTGTGGTGTAGACAGAGTTCACAAGGCACAGTTCCTTGTCAATGGAACAGAGTTCTGCCAGTGGAACAGAGGGACTGGGTAGGATTCTCTGCACCTGCTAGGCAGAGACAGTTGGATGGAGGCTAATAAACGGTACTTTTAAATGTTTTGCAAGTTCTGACTGTGAAGAGGCACAAGTAGGAAGGAGTTTGTCTCTATACCTCCCTGAGCGGGTGGGCTTGTAAGATCACGTGTTTATAAAGGAAAACACATGGGTGAGGATCCTTTGGTAGTCCCTCTGCCTGTCCCTGTCTCTCACTTCCAAAGTATGCCTTCCTGCTTCTCACCTGCTTTGTGTATATACGCACCTGTGAGTCAATGTGTGCCACAAAAGGCCAGCTGTGTGCTGAGCATGATTCCTTGCTTATGATGCTGATAATGAAGGAAAGGTTATCTCTGACTGACTGGCACCATCAATGGCCGAGTCCCTCGCCCCCGCCCAGCGTCCAGGAAAGGTCTTCACTTGCTCCCTCCTGATAATTGGGTAGATAGGAAGGTAACCGACGTTGCCAGATACCTTGCACATACATCTGGAGGGTATAAAGAGGGGCTGTCACAAAGAGAAGCACAAGGCAGGCTGACAGGGGTTGTGCTGCTGTGGGCATCTCCTGTCCTGTCGAACGTTAGCCATGCACAAGGTCCTCCTGGCTCTGGCGTTTGCGCTGCTGCTGTCTGAGATGAGGCTGGAAAGTGAAGCCAGGACCCCCCCATATGGTGTCAAACTCTGTGGCAGGGAGTTCATCCGGGCAGTCATCTTCACTTGTGGAGGATCCCGGTGGAGACGAGCAGGTGAGTGCATAGGATCTATGAGGGAAAAGCAGGAACAAAGTCTAGACCAGATCTTGGACAAGCTACTTTTTTAAAACTACAATTCCCAGAACCCCTGGACAGATTAGTTCCCCCCCCCCAAGTTGTAATCTAAAATGCGTAATTTATCCAATATCTGTTCTAATTAAACTGGGAAGACAAAGAAAAAGAGAAGCCAAGATCCTTAACACCCATTTAATGTTATAAGCTCACTGGCTCGCAATACATCCTCTTGTTCAGGGCTGGAGAAACAGGTAGCCCTCCAGGTTTTGCTGAACCTCAGTTCCTATATTTTTGCTAATGAGGAAGAATGGTGGGAGTTGCGGTCCCAACATCTGGGGGATGCACATCCCCCCCCCATCCTGCTTGTAGGATGCTGTCTTCTAATACACAGATACCTGCCAGAACCTGGGATTCTATATAGAGGACCATATTTTATTTGGACCTGCTTGTTGGAGAAATTATATTAATCATGTTTCCATAGATGCCAGATATTCCAGGAGGTAGATTCATAGGTGGGGCATGAGCCGTCTCACCCCAGGCAGTTTAATGATTTCTCTCATTCTGCTCAGTGATAAGATTTTCATTTCCCATCAGAGCAGAGGTAAAAGAAAATACATTTTTAGAGTGAAGCTCTGGAATACAACTAGTATGTGAGTTGCAGTGCCTATACGGAACTTTTCTCTTCTCTCCTCCAGTTCATCAGTATGTGGCACAAAGTGGCCAGATGGTCATCACAACCCACCCATTCACGATTCGGAAAAGGTGCTGATCTTGTGTTTCAAGAAAGGCTGAATATCAGATGACTGAAAATGGGTTGGGTCAATTATATGACTAAACCTGCAACTTAGTAGATACCGTTTCCCCGAAAATAAGACAGGGTCTTATATGAATTTTTGCTCCAAAAAATGCAGTAGGGCTTATTTTCAGGGGATGTTTTATTTTTTTCATGTACAACAATCTACGCTCATTCAAATACAGTCATGTCATCTTCTTCTGGTTGCTACACAAGGGTGGAGGGCGGGGGTTCACTTAACTGGGGCTTATTTTAAGGGTAGGGCTTACATTACGAGCATCCTGAAAAATCATACCAGGGCTTATTTTCAGGTTAGGTCTTATTTTAGGGGAAGCAGGCTAGTGCATGGAGGTTGGAGTTTTAAGATCAACATTACAGTGCAGTTCTTGATTAGGAAATCCTTTTGTACCCTAAACTAAACCACTAAAGGGAGCCTTCTAAACTCTAGAATTCCTCATCTGACCTTAGAATTCTCTACTTTACCTTTATAGTCTTCTAAGTCTTAAAATCTAAGATCAATCTGCTTTTCAATTGAAAGCTCTACAGCAAAATCAACACAGAAAACCAGACTGGCATCTTTGTAATGAACAAAGTACATATAAATAATAAAGTACATATCTGAAAAAAGTCCTGGAGATTTCTTTGCTATGTAAACTTTTAACATACTACAATGGCATGCATTTGGAGCAATTTTCTGATTGCTTCCTTTCATAACGTTCAGTGTTGAAAGCAGAGGAAATATTTGGAGAAGTAGTGGCAAATAGCAGCCTAGGCTGGGAACCAAAATATCTGCGGTTTTGCATTTATTGTTTTTTTAATTTGGAATTTATGAAAATGGAAAAGACCAAGAAGCCATTGTTTTTATTTTTATTTATATTTCATCATTACAACATATCTAAAGGCAGGACTGGCTTCTTTCCCCGTCCCCTAAGATCAACCTATGCAATCCAGAAACTAAGATGAGATACAAGTTGAGAAAATATATATTCAGCAGCACTGGCATTCCATTTTCTAATGTACCACCCAGCCTACACTTACTGCTTCATGTATGTAGACGTGGAAATAAATGGTAAGCAGGATGTGCTAACAGAAATCAAGACAGAACACAGGAAGCTGCCTTATACCTGAGCCTAGCAATGGGTAAGAATTTTGTTGTTAAAGAACTTGTGAAGTTCTTCATACTGAGGATGCAAATAACACATGATTTTAAAAAGCAGAATGTGGGGTAAACCAAAACCAACAGATCCACCTATCCATCCATAGGAATCTGAGTGCTTGTCTTAAAATATTTGGTTCTTGAATCCTGGTCTATTTCAACTATGTTTCTGAGGATTTAGTATTGCTACTTCTTTTTCCCTACAAGGGTCTTCATCTTTAATGCACGCATGGGGAGGAGGTACCACACAACCCTCTCTTTGCTCACTAGCTGTACCAATTGAATTGGTGGGTTCAGGTGTGGGGGAAGCTAGTTTCAGTTTGTTTTTGAAGACTCTCCAACATTCACATATTTCTTCATCTCTAGGACAGAAAGAATTTGATATTTTAAAAATCTGAAGATAGAAGAAAAGCGATACAGTACTGGCAACATCTCCCTATCTCTACCTTAGCTAGATTGTGTGTCCCTTATCATTGTCTACCCTATGAACTGGCACCCCACACTAAGTTCTTTTCCAATCCTGTGCGTAAGACACTAGGGGCTGAACCAGGGACAAAGCTTGTATCCAGGCATAGGTTTGCAACCCATCACCTGCTGAACTCAGTACACAAATCAGGGCATGGTCTGAAGAAGACAAAGGCAGAAGACAACTGAAGAGAAAGCTGAGGGAGTTGCATTAGGGTCAGATCAATTATCTGCCCACAGGTCATCTGGTCCAGAAAGGAACTGACCTACTTTTGCTACTGCGCGTGAAACTTTAGGGCTCAAATTAGAATGAAGATCTATGATTTAATCTATTATCTTTAAGGTAAAAAAGGATATCTGGAGTGCTCTATCTTTTATCCAAGCTGGAGGAAAGAGGGCTAAATCTCTAGAACACCTGCTAAAAGGCAGCACCCTCTGGCCTGCTTAATTTTTAAATCCAGCTTTTTAACATAACTGTTCTCTTGGTCTTTTCCTGTTGGAATTACCAAATGTGAATGACGGAATCGGAGTAGCAGAACATGTCAAGAATATCTGTTGTACTAGCAGATGCCTTCTGTTTGAACAAATTTGCTTTCTGTTTTCTGTTTTTGATTCTGTATAATAAAATAAATGATGGAGGAAGATCTGCTCCAGTTAGAATTTGTTTTAAAAGATTTGTTTTAATTCTAATCCAGACAAGCCATCATTTTCACATTTTTGTCTGTTTCGTTAGGATGGCAGGATTCTGACCATCTGGCATCTCAGTCCTTCTGCCAGCTGGCTGAACCGTGTTTCTGATACCTTCTGATCCCCCATTTCGCCTTCCAATTGCAGGAAATCTTGGTGCCCTCCCTGGAGGAGATTCTGCAGAAGACTTTGTTGCAACTTCATCCAAGGAATGGGAGATCGTCCGAGGGGCCCCCAAAGACCTATCTGACTATTATGGGGGTTGGCGGGAACAGGAGAGCCACAGCCCCCTGGAAGAAACCTGGGCTTTGGACCGTGGAGCTCGAGACGTTATGGCTGGACTGAGCAATGCCTGCTGTAAGTGGGGCTGTAGCAAAAGTGAAATCAGCTCCCTGTGCTAAAACGCCGGCTTGTATGTTTGTGTCTGCCTGTGAATGTGCTCAGTAAAAAAAGGAAGTATGTATAAATATTTTGTGAGCACAAAGCTTAGAACATGAGAGTCTAAATGCATGTTTAGCTGGCCAAGGTATTCATGATTAAACATCCACTCCTTTCATGTTAGGAGTTGTTTCCCAAGAATTTCTGATTCCCAGCACATTGTTATCACGTGCTAACAGCAAGGGTCTTGTGGCACTCATGTGAGCAATTCCAGATATCTAGTGGTCTCCTGTGCTCCTGGAGGCAATCTGGTGGGGCCACTGTGAGATACAGGAAGCTGGACTAGGTGGTCCCTTGGCCTGATCCAGCAGGGCTCTTCTTATGTCCTTACACATTTTTGGTGAACTGTTATCATAGTGATGAACTCCGATTACAAGTAGGGAGTGACGGGCATCTCCCAATCAGTTTCCCTGTTATCCAGACCTTGGAAAACTCAATTTTCCAAGGTCTGGATAAGATCTCCTAGAATCCCATGGCCAACATGGCTATTATTTGAGAGGTTCTGGCAGCAGTTGTTCAAAATAAATTAACCCTTCCAAGCTCTGTTATTACTACATGGTGTTCCTGACCCCACAACTGTTATTGGCAAACCTAGTATTTCTTTTTCCAGACACATTACAGCAGTGGAATGATAAAGGTACCTGATGTCATGGGAGATGTCATGTGTGGTAGCACATCAGGTGCTAAATGATAAAGGTACCTGATGTCATGGGAGAGAGAGACTCAGGAGTCTACTCTGGTAGCACATCAGGTGCTTATAGGGAGGCATGATGCATTGAGGGAGTTGAGTTTGTGTCATCTTTTATGAATATGTGGATGGATTCTGATTTGAGTCGGACATGATTTGCAAGTACAGTAACCGCTTTTGATTTCCTATTGCCCGCTTTTTTCCTCCTGGAAGGAAGTGGACTACAGCAATATCCTCTTTGAGACAAAACATATGTCAATAATGAAAGGTAAAACCAAAAAAGATTACACAAAACAAAACTGTGTGATCAAACATATCGAGATGGAGCTCCAAAGGCACAGGAGGGCATGTCGAAGATACAAGCAGTTCTAAATCTAGAAATGCCACAGAGTTGCCTAAAAGCACATTAAAAAACCAGTGAGTCGTTGTGCAAAACGTCTCAAGATGTTTAAGGGGGTTGCAAAGAGATGGGAAACAGTGAAATTTCTCAAGGCTGTTCTGTACATCTCTACAAAATTCTCCTTCTTAATGAGATCAAGATGAAGAATGACGCCCTCTTTTCCCCAGCAGCCAATCATCATCGTTACGTGCCGTCAAGGTAATTCTGTCTTATAGTCACCCTTTCTAGGGTTTTCCAGGTACGGAACACTCAGAAGTCGTTTATCACTCCCTTCTTTTGGGGATGCCCTGGGACTGTGCAGCTTGCCCCAAAGGCCACACAGGAGGCACAGTGGGGGAATAGAACTCCCAACCTCTGGCTCTGCAGCCAAATAGCTAAACCACTGAGCTATCCACCCAGCATAAAAGGGTGGATAGATCTGACCGGGGAATGCCAGGTTATGGCAGAGGGAGTATCTGGATCTACTGGTAGTTCTCTGAGTGATCTGGAGTAAATCAGCACGGTTTTCTGACCCACTTGTTTCACAACAGCAACAGAAGCGGCAGCTGCAACGAAGGGCAAAATCCTACTGGGAGACAACTGAAGAGGTAAAAAGGCAATTGCACAAGCACTTTTCCCATTTCCCGGACCGTTGGTCATGTGACTGAGCCCACAATTGGACGTATCATTATTTTATACAATCAGAAGACTGGGTGCAGGACAGATTGCCTGGAAAATGGATAACAGGAGATATGTGATTGTTCTTGTGCAGCTGCATGCGTCAACACAGTCCCTGGTCAAGTCACTCTTCTGACCCTGCTATTGCCCTAAATTGTATGGCTGAAGTGACAAAAGTGTGGGCTAACTAGCCATGAATCCTTGTGTGGAAGGACTGTGAGCTTCATTCAGTTCTGATACCCTTACAACAAATTCCTGGGCTTGGAAGTCTTTCCTTCTAAGCCTATCGCTTCTGCATCTGGTTCCAATTGGTGGATCAAGGGATTCGACTAAAACACAACACAGGTCCTACAAGCTTATACTGTATCTGCTCATACTGCTCTCCACACATCAAAGCCCAACAGCCTGTTTCTTCCCTGGAAAACATGGACAAGGAGCAAAAGAATAGCCAAGTCAAAAAGGGGGAGGGCATTTGCCTGTCTAATGCTTTCCCCCTGCCTCTAGGAAAAGATGAATGGTTTGTTCACAGGCCTATTCTGTGAGAGAAGTAGCTGTGTGGTTGACAGAGGAAAAAAGAGGTGGGTGAGCAGAGGCTGAAGCACCCATTCACCACCACCACCACTTTTCCACTTCAAATGCCACTTGGCCCACACTGTTTTGCTAAGAATAAGTGAGACCTTGGGCTTTTATTACACACATTTGCATGCAGCAATTTCTTAGAGATGCCCCCCCGGCAGGTTAAAAGACATCTATGCAGCTCTGATATTTAAAAGCCATAACCTGATTTACTAATTTAGCTAATCCTTTCCAAACCAAGAGTCTATCTAAGTGAGAGACACACCCCACACAACATGTGCATCCAGATGTATGCTGCATTGCAACTCCCATAATCCTGGGAGAAGGGAGTTGTCGTCCAGTATTTCTGGGGGTGCTAGATGGAGGTGGCGACCATCCCATTAAACTTTGATTATCACATCTGAGGCAACTCTACACCATGAGGAAAAATGAGGCAGACACACAAACGCAGGATGCTTCAAAAGGACAAAAAGAGTGGGCGGCAGTCAGATCGGAACAAGGAGCACAATCCACCAGGAAAAGCTCTTGCACAACTCTCGAGGGTTAGGAACAGAAATTGCAAAAGGGCAGCAATGACATGTTGGTTACTGGAGATGAGGGGACATGTCCCACATGGATTTTCCATCACAGGCGGCCAAGTACCTTTGGCGCACCTCATGTGTTACTGGCACTGATCCAATGACATGTATACATGAACAGGATTAGCGAAACACGACCAAGTGGAGTCAGTCCTCTAATTGTGAAATTCACTGCTGCAGATAGAATACTGGCCACCCATTCAGAAAGCCATTTTCAAAAAGCATCAGACAAATTTGTAAATGGAGAACACATCTATCAGTGGCTAACAGCCATTAGAGCTCAAGGACTGAGGAGGTAGGGGAGATGCAAATGTCCCCTGAACAATCTGCCATCCGCAGCTCATAGTACAAGTGGAAAGGGCTGACGCTGTCACTTTGGGACAGAGCTGTGTAAGGGCCAGCCATTTTGGGGTGCTACCCTGCCAGATAAGCGCGGGTCACATGACATTAGGATGCCTGGAGAAGCAAAGACGGAGAGGAAGGCCTGCCAATTCCACACAGAACGTCTTTGTTTCGTGCTTCCCAGGAGGGCAATTTTGCTCCTTTCCACCACCAAAGGTCCAGCCAAAAGCCCTAGCTGCCCCACCATGCTTATGGCTCTGCGTTGGGATAAGGTGCGGGTCCGTCCCCTCAGCTCGAAAGGCAGGCCCTCCCTGATCCTTAGAAGAATGTCTTAACTGTGCTCAGCTGGATTTATTGAACACGGGATGGCAGCCAAGGTTTCAAACAAAATTCTGCTCTCGGCGACTTCTGCTGTTTCTGGGGAACCAAGTTGTGTGACCCTGGTCAAAGGCAGCCAGGGAGGAAATCCTCCTCCTGCAGGGCCCTGTTTTCCCACCCAGGCTCCTTCCTCCGACTATTTCCTCCCCCTTGTATTAATGGGAAATTTAATGTCCTTTGCTCCTTTTGGCCCAACAAAGAGGGTGAGGCGACTAGCCCTTCCCATCAAATCCCGACCCTAAATGTTGGAACACGCCAAGCGCGTGGGGCAATTTCAGACGCCCGCCCGCCCCCTCGTGTAGAGATTGGTCGTGCGTATCGCTTAAACCCGCGAGGAAAGTCGTCAGGTCAGCGTTCGGGGGTCTTCCTGCCTAGTGAGCTTGTACTTCTTTGGGACCCGCCAACATCCAGCCCGCACGACTCCCATCCCGAGGGGCCCCCCCCCGCGACCTCGCAAGCGTCCAGGTCGTGTGGGCATGATCCGTGAACATCTGGGGGGGCAGGGACGGAGGTGGGCGGGAAGGCGGCGGGATTGAAAGTCTGGACCCCTAAAAAGAAATCCGACAGAGAAGCTGGCTTTTGCTTCCTCGTCGCTTGCACACGTGCGGGTAAGCAGGCAGCGAGCCATCCCTCGCTCGGGAAAGTAACCTCAGATGAATCACCCCGGTTTCTGCACTTTTTAGTGAAAAAAAACTTCCTCTTGACGGAACAGCCCCTCCTTGTTGATCTCTCTCTCTCCTCCCTCCCTCTCTCTCAAAAATAATAATAATACAGGAAGGGGCCGGGAGGGGAGGGAGGAGGAAAGATCAGCCATTGCCTGGAAGAAAGAAGACCGAAGTGAACACGCTTCTCCCCTTGGTCGGAAGGGGAAGTTGGCCTCGTCTCGATTCCGGAGAAGCCGAGGCCGCCTCGACGCCGGCTGCCGGCCTTCCCCGCCCGCCTCCCGGGCCTCCCCAGGTCCTCCGAGCCCGGCTTCCCTTTCCGACCCAGGGGTGGGGCGCGAGAGCCGACGGACGCCGCCGCCGCCCTCGCCCTGGGTCCTCCCAGCGCCTGGAGAGCAAGGGCGTTTCCTGGCCCTGGGCTAGCGACCCCCTCGGGGCCGAGGACGGCGCCGCTCGTTTCTGCTTTGCCCGGGAGGACGGTGGTTAAGACCCGAGAGGAAGCGCTGCCGGCTCGTGGAGACAGGTAAGCCGGCTGAGCCTCTTCTACCCACAAGATAGGCGGGCTACGGAGGATGCTCTCTTTGGGAAGAATGCGCTCTCGTTACTTTCTGCGCCGGGGTCTCGCCAGGGAGTTTGGGTCTGGGTCCGGATCCTGTTCGGATGGGTGCGTAATCTTGCCTCTGTCTCCCACCAGCCCATTCCCCACCCCTCGTTTTCTTACTCTTGTTACCTGCTGTGAAACCGCCTCCGAGTTATGGTGACCCTACGAGTGAATAGTCTCCAAAATGTCATGGGTTGGCCTAAAGAGCCCTACTCCGCTTTTGTAAACTCAAGGTTTCTTTTAAGGAGTCAATCCATCTTGTATTCCTCTTTTCCTGCTGCCTTCCCCCTCTCTGTCTTCCCCAGTATGTATTGTTCTGTTTTCCAGAGAATCTTGCCTTTTCATGATGGGCCCAAACGACGACAGCCTGGGTTTCATCGTTTTTGCTTCCAGAGATAATTCAGGCTTAATTTGCTGTAGGACCCACTGTTTGCCTTTCTGGCAGTTTTTGATTACAGCCCCCATAATCCCTATCAATTGGTCAAGCTGGGTTGGGCTTCTGGGAGCTAAAGTCCAAAACACCAGGGCTAGGGGAATCCTTAGATATTTAGGCTAAGAGCAGGCTGAAGTGTCTCTCCCCCCCCCCACTCCCATTTTTTTGGTTACTTGATTATGTGAGCCCCATATCAGCTGTCTGGTCTGTATCTTCTGGATAAATAAATATGCCCTGGCAGATTGACTCCAAAAACCCCATTCCCCCTTGGCAGATGGCTTTTGTCTCTCAGAGTACAGTACAAGTTTTCTGTAATGAGCAAATTGCAGGGGGGTGTGTGTGTGTGCGTGTGATTGTTGCTGTTATTGCCTGTGAAGTCCTCCAAACAAACAACAACCCCACTTCCTCTTGCTGGAAAACCTGGAGAGCCAAGGCCAGTCAGAGTAAATATGAATGGGTTAGATCAGCCTGGACACTGTGTAGCCCTCCAGATGTTGTTGGACTAAAACTCCCATCTGCCATAGCTGGCAGCCTCGTGGTCATTTATTCCATTGTGTAGAGATTGTCCTTTTTGACCAATGTAGGATGCAGGAGGGCATTCTTGGCAGAGAATGATACTTTATATTACATTAAAAGTGAGCAAGGGAATGAAGTCCTGATGCTTCTGGGTGACATTGTTTGGGACATGAATGGCATTGCCGGAGTAGATGTGAAGGCAGAGAGGGCAGTTTGAGCTGCATCTGGAGGGAAGTCTTGTCCTTCTCTTTGTATTCATGTTGTGCAGTCTGTTATCAGTTAACGTTTGTTGTAAATAAGAATGAGGAGCTGTCTGCAAGCAAACGGAGACCTGCAAGCAAACAGACCTGCAAGCAAAAAGAGATCTGCAAATCCAGATACCATGAGAGGACAAGTGTTACTGATCAGAACACATCCCTGCTCATGATGTGTTTGACTGGTCTCAGTTGGGAGCTGTAAGCGACAGCAGAAGGGGTCCCATCATTTTCCCTTCGGGGTCTGATGTGGTTGATTCCTATTGAGCTTTGCCTTGTGAGTTGTGTGTGTGTGTGTTTTCTTTAACTTCTCGAGGTGCCTTGTACTTTGAGAAATGCCTGCTGTAAATCCCTGAATTTTGAGTCACTTTCTCATAGATCACAGAATATGTGGCTGTTTTGGGCAGCTTGGCTGTAGACAATGATCTCATAGGGTGTTCTGGATAGAAACTGGACACATGTAAACAGCATGTTTTGTATACAACATAGGGCTCCCTTATCCCTTATGCAGTCACATAGTCAAGAAAATGACTTGGTTGGGTGGACCAGTTTAGGCTCAAGTTGATAGTAAGGTTAAAGCGGCCGAAGTTCTGGTGGAACTTCTGAAGTGATTCTTGTGCATGAGCTCCCATGACTTATTTTAATATTTTTATCCCACATTTCTTCCTGTGACGTGACCATGGTCAGCCATTGAAGTTAATGCTTTGGAAGGATTTTGCACCTGGGTCTCCATAGCACCGTTTGAACACCACACCATGCTAGCTCACCATCTTAATATATATTTGGGATCTTATTGAGGGTTAAGTTTACCAGTAGCCAGAAATCTATTGTGATAACAGGGACAGGATTTATTATGCAATGCTACAAAAGAAACATATTTTAAGAAGCTACTGTACAGTACTTGCAACAATAGATTCCTTTTTCGATACTATGTGTCTTTTGCTGGGATACAGCTTCAGCAACAGACTGACAAATAGAGATTTGAATTATATAATAACAAATATAATCATGTGCAATCAAGTCAATTCTGATTTATGGTGACCCTTTTCAGGGTTTTCCAAGCAGAGAATACTAAGCAGTGGTTTACCCTTCTCTTCTTCTGCGGACACCCTGGGACTGTGCAGCTTGCCCAAGGCCACACAGGCTGATTCTACTCTCAGGAGACACAGTGGGGAATCAGTCTATGCAGCTTCAGAATGGCATTAATAAGCCTGGGTTTTCATAGTATAATCATCAGCATAATGTGTACTCAGAAATGGTTTACAGTTCCTTTCTTCTGGGGTCATCCTTGGACCGTGCAGCTTGCCCAAGGCCACCCAGGCTGGCTCTACTCACAGGAGACACTGTGGGGAATCGAACTCCCAACCTCTGGCTCCGCAGCTAGATACTGAAACCACTGAGCTGTCCAGCCAGTTTGAGTTATATACACAGGCAGAAACATATATAGCCCATCCCTTTTAAAACCATTTTGTTTTTAAAGCAAATGATTACAGAAGAGACCCACTTTTGTGGTGCAGGAACTGAGCCAAGAAATAATGGTTGTCTGCTGAAGATGAGTCAGAACTTGTAGATTTGTAGTAAAAGTAGCTAAAAGAAGATGCTTAATGTTCTCACATCTTATGTCTGTAACGGGCTCTCTGGTCTGAGGAGAATGAGACATTTTCTCCTTCCCAAGTTGGGATGTGCTTAATCTTGTCATCATAGGTTGCTATTGGATATTTCCTGTCTGCAACACCAGTGTTGAGAGGCACACATCGTCCCTCACCACCCCATACAGGTTGCTTTTTGCATGCCTCATTTTAAATAATGAAGTAATTATTTTATTTCATTAAAGAAAATTTAGGCATAGTGGACACAATGTAGCCCTACAGAATTTATTTGACTGCAACACTCCTCATTTCTCCTGTTGGCTAAAGCTCATGGGATTTGGAGTCCAGCAATGTTTGTACAGCTGCAAGTTTCCCACCCTTGCTTTAGTTTCTTATGGAAGCTGACTGCTTCTCTGTTGTACCATTTGAGCATGGATATGCCTGTCTAGTCGTGGGCAAAACAAGTTACTACTACCCTGTTTCCCTGAAAATAAGACCTAACCTGAAAATAAGCCCTAGTATGATTTTTCAGGATGCTCGTAATATAACCCCTACCCCCAAAATAAGCCCCAAATAAGTGAAACCTCACCCTCCACCATTGTGCAGCAACCGGGAGATGATGATATGACTGTATCTGAATAAATATAGATTGTTATACATGAAAAAATCAAAACATCCTCTGAAAATAGATGATATGACTGTATCTGAATAAATATAGACTGTTATACATGAAAAAAATCAAAACGTCCTCTGAAAATAACCCATAATGTGTTTCTGTAGCAAAAATTAATATAAGACCCTGTCTTATTTTCAGGAAAACACGGTATTACTGTTTTGTCATATTCGCCCTCTTCTTTCTAATGAATTAAAGGATATTTGAATTTGATGCTATTTAGTGCATCTACCTTTTGGTGTTTTCTTCTTGCAGGACATAGCTACCGCCATGGGAAGCAGACCCAACGTGGCATGGCTGCTGTTTCTATTGTTAAAGGTTTCAAGGCTGAAAGGTCGGTATCCCTTGCTGGTCTCAACCAGGTCTATCTCTGAAATACCTCAGCTGAGCTTTTGGTTGTAGCCCCCTATACTACGCACACTCTCAGAACTGCATGGAACCCATTCTTTGTGGCACTTTCTCGTTTGAGGCGTTTGTGTGAACGTCCCAGTTTCATGGATCTTCCTCAGCCAGTTCTGCAATTTTTAGTGGGCCAAACTAAACATTGAGGCAAACTGGCCAGTCCTTCCTTTTCTAACAAGATGAGCAGGCTGACTTGAGAGCCACTACGTGAAGGTGTGCCTCAGGAGCCTTTGAACAGGCAGAAACATACTGTATAGGCCACTTGACAGAAGGAAAATAGTGAGAGGGAAAACGTTGAGTAGGGCAACATATGTGAGAAAGCTGTGTTCCCTCGTAGGGGAAGTGGAAATGAGTAGGCAGCAAATTGAGAAATAGGGATCTGAAGAAGGAATGAATGGTGGAGACATAAAGTTGAAGGGAACCAAGAGAATGTGGGGGAGGGACAAAGCAAAAGGTTGGTGGGACATAGAGGCAGAAAACACTGTTTTTTTGTCAACAGGAAGGAAGTGGTGAGGCTAAGACAGTTCGAATGGTTGAGTCCTGGGTCTGAGAAAGCTTCACCTTGTAAAGTCCAGGTTCTGAGGCAGTGTCTGTATTTTCTAAGAACTGCATGGAAGGTAGTCTAACAAGAGAGTAGCAAGTAATGTCATTTATTTGTTTATTTGACTCCCCTTTTGGCAGGGGAGGTAATTACTGATGAGGTCCAGAAAGTGCTGAATGCTGACCTGAAGGGCAGTGGTGGTGAGGCAGCCACATTTAATGAGCTGTATGTACAGCCTCTCTGGAAAAAGTTTACCTTGGACCCAAATGATTCATGTTTCTTCCTCTCCTCCTGGAAGTTGGACGCTCTTCTGTCTTTGGATGTGGCAGCTCTCAACAGGGATGTTGTGATGCATCCAAATCAGTTTCTTAGATTCTTTAGCAAACATGTTCTTCTCCTTCCTGCCCATCTTTTCTCATTTCTTTTTTTTTTAAATCTTGAATGACTGGTTGTAAAAATCTGTACTTTTCATTTCTCCTTATGTGATGAAAATATTCTAGCTGCTTTTTATTGGTTTAGTTGCTTCTTGGTCTTTGCTCATTCACTTGGTCTTTGCTCATTGATGCAAGCAGTTTTTAGTGTTCTGCAATAAATCCATCTTTCAAGTACGGTTTTCTTTTTTGTAGTTTCCTGTGTAAAAGCCCATGATTCTATATCATACAGTGGACTCCAAAACACAGTACAATGTGCATTCTCAAAGTCAGCTCAATCATTTTAAGGAAGCTGCTCTGGGCCAGCTAATTTCTATTGCACAGCTATGATTGCACTGTTCAATTATGCCATCATTTGAATCTACAAGTGCTTGTCTAAAGATGTTTTTGTGTTTAATTTAAAAGCAGTAGTGACAACACCCATCCTTTTCATATTCATTTCATAGATCCGTTTCCTTCAACATCTGCCCAGTTTTCATGGATACTTTTTGTTGCCAGTACATAAATAATTCTCGAATCAAGACTTTGACTTTGAACTTGCCATGCTAGACTTGGTCAAAGTCTTTCTCATAGTCAAAGAAGCAAGGATGTATGGCTTCTTCCCCAAAGCACATGTATGTAGAACAATCTTTCCCTGGTTCCAGATTCTCCTCTAAATCCAAACAGCATATTTCTTGCGTTCTTTGCCCTTATTTATTTATTTATTTATTTATTTATTTATTTATTCATTCATTCATTCATTCATTCATTCATTCATTCATTCATTCATTCATTTATTCGTTCGTTCGTTCGTTCGTTCATTCATTCATTCTATTTGTACCCCACCTATCTGGTCAAAACAACCACTCTTGCGGATTCTGCCATGTCTTATGTTTAAGAAAATCTTAAGCAAATGCTTTGTTAAGCTTCCTATTCTGTAGCCAGTACAAGTTTTAGCATTGTTCCTTTTGAGATAGCATAGCAGAAATCAATCTCTGCCAGATTCACTAAAACATCTGAGGTATCATCTGTTACCTGTAATAGTTTTGCAAATGCTTCAAGTCCAGGTGCTTTGCCTTTTTTTGTTTGCTGTATGTATTGTATTTCAAATTTCTTTGTTTCTAACACAATTTGGAGTTAAATTTGCCTATGCTTGCTTCATCTTTATCAGCAGTTGGAGTATATACCTTTATGACGTTGATGTCTGTGGGATTTCCCCTTTAGCTGGACAAGCGTTCCCCCGTGTATAATTGTGAGGCTTTGTTTGTTCAACTGCAGATTCATCATAATGCAGTGCATCGTTACTGCTGGAATCATACGTAATGTGGACAGCGTATCTGTTCTTGGCCAGTGAAAGTCAACGAATGTTCTTCTTGCCTTATACCTACTTCCTACGTTCTGGTTTTGAAATCTAACTTTTGTCCTAGAGATGCTTAGCATCCTCAGCCCACCTCAAAGGCACCAGGGACTGGGGGACTTTTTACATCTCTGTCTAGCCACAATAAATGTTTTTGGAAGACATAATGTGATGTTGCTTAGTTGATTTCCTCATATCAATGTTATGGCCAGTTGCAATGGCTACTATCATACTTGTCATTTTACATCTCAGAGCTTGGCTGGCAACCTTTACCATTGGCCTTTCGTGGGGACTGACATTACTTTAGACTTTGTCTAGAGGGGCAGGGTATAAATCTAAATAAAGTAAAGTACTGTTGGTCAAAGGTCAAGGTCTTGATTCAGGTGGGGTTTTGAAGCAATTTAGTTCCTTGCAGCTGCACAGACCTCTTGTCCAACTTCTTCATAGGAAACCGTTGGCTTTTAAGGGGTCTTAAAGGGAATTAAGCTGGTGGTTGCACTAGTCACCAGAGTCAATCCAGAGGCCCCTTTGCAACAACTACTGCATGATTGTTCAATCTGCCATGTCTTTATATCCCGCTAATGGGCAAAAGACAGGAGGGCTTGGCATGCTCTGGTCACGACTAAACTACAAAAATGGGCAAAATGCTTGAAAAGATGGGGGTCACAAAGAGTCGGTCACGACTAAACAACAAAAATGGGCAAAATGCTTGAAAAGATCTTTGCACTTCCCCTTCAGACATTTCTGGATAATACTGATCTGCTTAATCCATTTTGACTAATTTCAGGACAAGTCCTGAAACTGCCTTGGTTGCTCTGATCTCTTCTGGGGGGTGGGGGAGATAGGGACAAAGCCTAGTTGATTCTTCTAGATCTCTTGATGGCTTTCAAGGACCTTGACCATAATCTTTTTCTGGTCCACCAAACCAAGTTGGGAGTGGAAGGCTCTGAGCTACCCTGATTCCATCTGTAGCTGACAAGCTGGTTTTAGAAGGAGGTGCCCGATATTTTTAATGCCATCTCACCATGCACATGCTAAGATGCCCCAAGGTTCAGAGGAGAGAACAGCAGCAGGAAGAAATGTCTGTGCCACGTGGTTCCCTTGCAACTTCTAAGCTGGTTTGTGTCTCAGCTGCAGTGGTGTATTTGATCCTTACACCAATATTGAAGAAAGATTCAGCTGCCACTCCAGTCAGCTTTAATAAATGGAACAAGAGGGAAAGTGCTGTTACATCACAAAAAAGGAAGCAAAATATATTTTGCAAGTGCTGTGGTTCCCACAACAAACAAACAATATATGGCTGATATAACATGATGGGACAGTCCTTTCTATCTAGCTGTCTCTCCTTCCTCCCCACCAAAGACTCTTTCTAAAAAGATACTGTATACACTGACTGAATTTGATCTGTGGCTTAGGACTTTGTTGAGCTGTTGCTGGTACTGGCATCCGGAGATGGGGGAAACTGGAACCTAGACTAGACAGGGTTATATAACCACAAAGCCAAAAGAAGCCAGGATGTGATATAAGAAGAGCTGCATTCAGTTGCTGGTTTTTCAGCTTTGTTCCTTCACCTCTAGAAGATGAAAAACCCACTGGAAACACTAATTCAGAACCTAGCAGTGTGTCTCAACAAGTGCTGAGAAAGGGGAAGCATTTAATCAAGTGAATTTCTTAGAACACATGAACCCTAATTTTCCCCCCTCCCTAAACTGTGGTATGAAGAAGCATGGTTGAAGTTTGCCTTTGGAGGAGTTGGGAGGAGATCATTAGGATGTGCGTAGATGGGGGGGCAGTTAGAGGGAACTTGGAATGATGGAGTAGAGTGAGGATTTAGTCAATTGACAATTGGAGAGGGAAGAAGGGGTTGAATAGTAGGAACTACTGGGTAGGAATGGGTTTACTTCAGAGGTTGGGGACTTTTAGCCTGCATCTCCCATCAGCCTAACTCACGATGGCCAACACAAGTGTTTGTGTGAGTTGTAGTCGAAAACATAGAGACCCAAAGACTCCCCCCCCCACTCCCTGGTTTTAAGTAATTACTGGTTCCAATTACGTACTTTAGCTTATTGTGAATTTTAGACACCTCCAACTCACTCTGTACCCAATAATTGGATATTCAGATGGGGACGAACCAGCCCCTTAAGAGACATTCCAGCCTGCTGTGTTAGGAGTTGATGATGTTATCTGTACATTTCTAGATTGCCATTAAGAAGAAGAAAAAATACAGTTAATGGGAAGAAATGTAAATTACTGGAACCTGGGGGAAGACATCCATTTTGGCATGATGGACATTAAACCTGAAGCCCAAATTCCACTGAGGTGTGCTGGCATAAGCAAAATTGTACAAGTCAGGAAAGCAAATTTGCTAGTAATTTACAAGATGGTGGCCACGTGACACAGCACACACCATCCCAGGTGTGGTGTCCAGTCACCTCCAAAGTTATCTTTGTGCTTGGACTAGGAAAGGAAGGATGTGTTAGGTCAAGGATTCTGACACCTGAACATGTTCCTAAGAGCCCTAACAGAATTTTACAGACCTCTAGGGAAAAATCAGAAGCCAGTGTTTGTCACAGCTGTCATTTTATCCCAATTATGGGTTCATTTGAGAATGAAACCAGACAATCATATCCAAATTTATCTGAAAACCAAGTATTTTAATTGTGACAGTGATTCATGGCAACATCAGCTTGCCTACAAGCTTTTAATGAAACCAGACAATCATTGACAATCATATCCAAATTAATCTGAGAACCAAGTCTTTTAATTGTTGCAGTGATTCATGGCAACATCAGCTTGTCTACAAGCTTTTAGAAATCTACATTGCTTCTGTGTTCCATAAGTACAAAACACTTTAAAAAGTAATGTTACATGTGTAAAAATTCTTGTGAACATTATAGGCACAAATGCCTAAAAATAAATTTCCAACTACAAGTCTTACAACTATGGAAAGCTGCAAATAAGGAATAGTCCAAAAAACAAAACTTATGCTGTTGGCAGAAATTAAATCAAATCATATTTGAATTCAAAAACAAAGGAGCTTAAAGCCTAAAAAAGGCATTTTGAACCAGCAAGGAATACTTCTCCAAAATACATCATTAAACACTAAAAAGCATGGTAACTTTAGCCTTTGAGCATATTAAACACATACACAAAATCAAGTGCTCACCCAGCCAGACCAAATTGTATCAATGGAGGAAAATCCATGTTGATCATCTGCTGTCACTGTTGCTGCTACAGGATTGTTGTTTTTTTGATGTCTGGTGCCCAAAGTGGTGTGACATTGCTATGATGGGATGAGAGGCGTATATGAATGTTGACCTCTGATTAGCTAGGATCGCTTGCTATTGATTTTGGTAACATGGTGCTCACGATTACTGTGGTCTGAGCTCCAAATTGGAAATACAGTATGTCTCTCTTTTACTTGCAGGCAATATTGATGCTTCCATAGATCTGCAGTGTTACCAGTTAGTAGTACCTAACAACATTATGAATTGCAGTTGGTTTATTCAGAGATCCTTTGATGTTACCACCACCTATGTCCTCCACTGCAAGAGTCTAAAATTGTAAGTGACCTATGGAGAGCCCCTGTGCTACCTGAGAATTTAGGCTTTGAAAGAAAGGGGCTATTTACAAGTCTGATATCTGTCAGCTTTCCATGCAGCATGCTATATGCCACATATATACACAAATGGATCATGTTATGCAGGTTAGGACAAAATTATGTAAGTGTATGCTTGCACGCACACACAGGTCTAGACACTGATCATAATAAAGGTATGTATGTGCATGGATTATGTATCATTCTGTGTGCATTCATCTGTGTATGCATACACATAGCTTGTGGTTGTCTGCGTGTCTGCCTCTGTATATGACATATACAAGCATGCATAGTGTATCTGCCCACAGTTAAAGTAGGAAATGCAAATTCTTATATACCCCAAATATACAAATCCTCTGTTGAGAGTAAAATAAACCAAGCAGATCACAATATAAAAATACAACCATGCTTGAATAACTCTGGCTGTTCTGAGCTGGTTATGGATTGTTTGCAAAATTTAGTTTTTGTGGAAGGTTTTTGCAGATGATGCCAAGTCATTCACAATCTGGATGTATACATGAGAAGTGCCAAATACTCAGTTCTGATCTACACATGCAATTCTGTTTGTTTGTTTGAATTTGATTTTCTCTCTCTCATTTCTCCTCCTCTAGCAATCCTGGTCAAACTCACTCAGAGCAGGCTGAGAGGGGACAGAATTGGTTGGCCATTGGACGAAGCAAGCTGACGCGGGGAGACAACTACAGTGTTTGGGTGGAGGTTTTCAGTGCAGACTGGAATGCGACCTCCAAGAAGTTAAACTTCAGCCTGGATGATATAGGTCAGAGACAGTTGGTGTAGAGTTCTTTGAGAAAGGGGCTCGGGAACTCTGTGAACTCAGTTTTTAAAAAAGTTGCTCCTTACTCTGAAAACAGTGCCGGCCCACCTGTGTAGCCCCAGTGTTTTGCTGTGGTGTCCATACCAAAGAGCTAGGTCTGTGAGCCACCATTTAAAAATGTTTCACGGTGACTTACCCAAAGTATTGTGGGAAATTTACAACTAGACCTTTGAACCACCTGCTCACTCTTTCTGGCATGTAGGCCCAAGAACATTGGTCTATTGGTAAATGCCTTGTGAAGTGTTCCTAGACCTAGACAAGCACTG